TACTGTCCTCCCCCCTCCCCCCAGTGGTGACCCGGGACAGTGCCAGGTGCCAGGCTGGGCACTGGGGAGGCCCCCACCGGGCAGGGAGAGGAGAGGCTGGCTAGACGAAGGTGGGGAATTGGTCTCTTCCTCAGGCTCCCTCCTGCGTTCTGGGGCGGGGAACCTTCCAGGAAAAGGGACGTTCTCTCTGGCCTTGCAGAAAAGTAGGGACACATGGGCCCCACTCCTTGGTCTGGAGGCTGTGACGGGGAGAAATGGGGACCCCAGCCTGCGCCCGAGGGGCCTCACTCCCCGCGCTGCAGGGGCTCCTGCGGCTGGGAGGTGGAGGGTCCCCCCAGGGAACCTCAGAGGCCTCTCCCTCCCGGCTCCTTGTTGGGGTGAAGTGGTTGGAGTGTCTCGCTCCGGCTCCCCTTCTCCCGCGCTCTGAGCACCAGCCCCTGATAACACTGGGAAGGCGCTATCGGCAGAGCCTCTCCCGCCGGCCTGCTCCATGCTGACGGTTGGCAGCCGGCACCCTGTGATAAACTTATCAGGCTAAACCTGAGCCCGCCGCTCAGCACAGCCCCTGCCTCAGATTTCCCTCCTCCTGCCTTCCTGCACCAACCCCGCCGCCCCCATGGAGCCCTGGGCCTGCCTGGCTCCCTCCTGGGGCCCAGTGGCAGCGGGACACCAGTCCTCCCACAGCCAGTGTGCACCCCACTGCTCCCAAGGCAGGCTTCCACCTTAGGGGTCCCCGCCACCTGCCAAGGAGGCGCCAGGGGCCCTGAGGGGGTAGTATGGCCACCTTAGACTCATTGGGGACCTACTAGTACCTGCTGGGAGGGGGACAGGGGCTGGGGGTTGGGGACAGGCCAGCCAGCACCGTGGAGGAGGAAGGAACCTGCCCACGGGGCGCCCACGGGACCCTGGAGGCCAGCCACTTGCAGGGAGGGGCGGAGAGGCCAACGCGAGGCAGGGAAATGGTGTTTGTGCAGAGGGAGCCTATTTAACGCCCCTGATAATGTTATCGTGTGCGCCCACTGCAGAAAAACACAACAAACACCCCGAAAAACCAGGAGACCAAGACGCGCGGCCCCCGTCCTCGGCCACGGGTGATACGCTGCTCTCCGTCCCGCGGCTTCCTTCCCCGCGTTTGCAGAGAGCAAAATGGAATCGTGTGGCGTTTAGTGATTTTTAAACCGCTTTTCACTTACGATATCACGGACAGCTTCCTCTATTGACACATTTGCTCTGCAACATCTATTTGCTCTTCAAAGTTTTTTTTTTGGTAAAAAAAGATACACGCACACACACAAGTCCAAGTCTCTTTGGTTTGGCAGACGGCATGGGGAGGGAGACCCAGCCCTCCTTCCTGGCCACGGAGCAGCTGCCTCCATGGCTGGCCGCACTTCCTTCGGGTCTGCTGCTCTGCGTCGGCAGGAGTGGGTGGTGCTGCTCCCACAGGGCCGCACACGATCGAGAAACGGTATTTTCACCCCACGCAGCGCCAGGTGGCTGGCTAGCACGCCCTGTCCTTCCCGTGGCTGCCGGCCACTGCGTGGACAGGCCCTTGATCATGCAGCCGGTCCCCTGCCGCGAGAGCCTAGGGTGTTCCGATGCTCCCCACGACCCGTGGGCTTCAGAAGACAGCGCCGGAGCTGCTCGCTGTGCCCACCCATGACCATTTCTTCAACTCAGATTCCGAGGAGCAGAGCGGAGGGCTTGGGGTGAGCCCACGTGGGAAATCCATGTACTTGAGCTGGCTTCCAGGGATCGGGGAGGGGAGAGGTGGAGGGAACACCGTGGGCAGAGCACGAGGGCGAGAAACGGCATCGAGAATTCCCGGGAAAGACGTGGCTGCTCGTCCAGAGTCTCGGGGAAGCCAGGGTCCGGCCTTGACCTCCTGTGGCCTCCCTCCCTGGGGAGGGGCTCCCCTGGGGCAGCCTGAGCCGGGAGCTGGCTGACACCAGGGGCTGCTGTCACTCTGGCTGGGACGGGCCTCCTGCCGCCGGGCCCCACTCTGTTCCCGGGCGGCGCCGCGCACCCACGCGGATTGTCTTTCTAAAGCTCAGTCTGACGTCTCCCGGCTCCCGTCCCGGTCTGCAAAGCGGTCAGTGGCTGCGGTGACTTTAGGAGACTCTCTGCTGCCCCACTGTGCGCGGTCCTCCCAGCCTCGTAGCTTCTGGCCAAAACAGAGTCTCCGTCAGTCATTCTCTGGCCGCCAGAGTCTGGCGGGTCTCCTCCATCCTCCCACCCCCCATTCGCCCCACCTTTCTCTCTGGAGTAGCCTGCCCCACTCTGGGTAGGAGCTGGTCTAGGACAGTGAAGGCCAGGCCAGGCCAGGGGCTGGGACTTGGGTCTGCAGTCCATGGGGGAGCCACGTTTGGTCTCTAGGGAACGTTGGGAATAGCGCCTACTCTCCTCCATAATCCAGAACCCTCACCCTTCCACTCCCCCACTGTCCCCGCATCCAGGCCCTGCCTCCTCCCAGGCCTGCTGTCCATCCGCTCCTTCCCGGCGCTCTCCACTCTGGGCAGTGACTGATGGGGTCGGGCTGAGGCCAGCTCAGCCACACACCCAGGTCTGGGCCGGCCCTGGAGGCACATTTCCATCCTTATCAGTGATTCCATGGCCACCTCCTCTGGGCATCTCCCAGTTTGTTCCTCAGGGGCTCTGGTCCTGGGGCGGGGGGGCCTGGCTGCCCTGCTGGGGTGCGACTTGTTTGCGGGGGCCACGTGACCCCCAAGCAGGAGGGTGCGGAGCACATGGGCTGGGGATGTAGCCTGAAGCTGCCACCACTGACGGGACATTTTCTCCGGAAGGTAATTCGGAGGTTGCGTTCTGCTCCGTAACGTGGCCAGTTCGTTTAATGGTAAAATACTGGTTTTGTCATTTGCTGGTGAGTAAATCGAAGCTCTAGCCCAACGGCTGCTTCTGTTGTGGGGGGAGAGGAGGAGAGAGGGAGAAGCAGATTCCACGGAGCCCCCCATCCCTGCCCACACTCGGGCCCCCTTTCTCTGCAGCGTGTAGACAGGCTCCAGCCCCCACTGCTCTGAGGCTGCAGTGCCAGCCCCCCCACTCCCCACCCCCGTGTGGACACTCAGTGGAGGGGCCCACTGGCTAAATCCTGATCACCCTGAACCTGGGCACACGAAGAAAGGCGCATTGTCTCGCTCTCGGCCCGCCCTGCGCAGAAGTGGCTGAAATCCTGGTATTGCTGTGGTTTTGTTTAGCAAACAAGGAACATGCAAAGCAGCTCCCGTGTGTGTGTGTGTGTGTGTGTGTGTGTGTGTGTGTGTCCAGCACCCACCCTCCCATTTCCCCAGATCTAGAAGGTGCAGGGCAGGCCCCTCACCCGGGGGCAGGAGCCCATTGCAGGCCTGGCCCACGGGGTGGCTCATGGCAAGTCCCTAACCCTGCATGGGCCTCACCACCTCACAGACAGGAGGGGGATGGAGGTCTCCAGCCTTGTTGGCTCCAGCCGCTGGCTGTTAGAGACCCTTCTCCTCCGGCCGCAAGAGCCAGGCCTGCAGGACGGGGACTGGGAGCCTGCGAGGAGGTTGCCCACCTCCCCATGCAAATGTCCAACCCCACCCCACACCCTCAGACAGGTTTGTCAGGGGAATTCTGGCTAAGGTAAATAGGAATGAAATAGGCCAGGGTCTTGCCCAGCCAAACCCAGAGCCGGGAGTCCCCAGCTCCCAACGGCCTCAGAACCCGTGCGGGCCCAGCAGAGGCAAGGACCTGAGGAAACACCTCCAGGTTTCATTGGGAGGAAAGGTGAATGGAGACCCCAAGGGCTTGGAATCCGATATCCTGGCCCCAGCTCTGCACTCGCCCGCTGTGTGACCCTGGGCAAGTTGGCCGGCCTCTCTGAGCCTTAGTTGCCCCCTCTGTAAAATGGGAGCGTGGCACAGGTTAGAGGCAGTGTGTGGAAGCCCTGGGCTCTGCTCAGCACCTGGAAGTGACTCGGTTAGAGGTGTCCACTGCTTGGGTCAGGCCTGGGCTGGGTGCAGAGAGCGAGAGCCCAGAGAAGTACCTTCTAGCAAAGGGAACGCTAGCTACCCACAGACAACCACCGGCCAGGCTCAGGGGGTCCTGCGCTGTGAGCAGGAGCCCCAGGAGCTCCGTGTTCAGAGGTGGGAGAACCTGGGATGGGAGCGACCACGGGAGGGCGGCATTCGAGCCGGCCTTGTACTCGCCCTGTGCTGGGCCTGCTCACTGCCGCGCACACCTGGTCTCGGGCCCTCCCAACACCCCCCAGGGATGGCTCGCGGTGCCCACCATCCACAGCGGAGGCGCTCGCCTGAAGCCCACAGCTGGCGAGGGCGGCGCCAGGCCTCACTGCATCACGTCTGGCCATGTGCGCCAACATTCCCGGCTCCAGGGACCAGGACGTGGGTGTCAGCCCACCCCAGTGATCACGTGGACCTTGCCCAGCAGCTGACCCTGGGTCAGCCAGGTGGATCCCGGTGGTCAGCAGGGTCCTTTCGGGAGGGAGGCAGGAAGGTGAAGGCGGAGGAGCCGGGAGGGGAGTCAGAGGTCAGCCTGACGCGCGTTGAGGCGGGAGGCGGCGGCCACAAGCCCAGGACTCCGCGGCCTCTGGAAATCAGAGCAAGCCACCTGCCCTGGAGCCTCTCGCGGGGTGCACTCCGGGACACCCCGAGTCTAGCCCTGGGCAACTCACATGGGGTTTCTGAACCGCCGGGACTGTCGGAGAATAGACTTGTGTTGTTCGAAGCCGCTGAGTTTGTGGTGACTAGTGGCAGCCGCCACAGGAGACGGACACAGCCCTGGCTACATGACCTGTGACCGTGTCACACCCTGTGGGGTCCAGTGCTTCTGCTCCAGCCCTTTCCATGTGGCCTGGGCCTCAGCTCCCAAGCTGTCCGAGGGCAGCTGCGTAGCTGCCTCTGCTTTTCAAAGCTCCCGCCCCCCCGCTGCCCCCACAAAGGGAGTCAGCTTGCACCCAGGAAGGCCCTTCATACATGCTGGTCAGATGTAAATAAATCTGTGTCTTTATTTCCATGTACAGCGGTTGAGGGGAACAGGCTTTTGACAGCAATAACTGCTGGTTTCTCCAGCCCGGGGGTCTGAGGGCAGACCAGAGCCCAGCTGAGTGCCGGTCAGAAGTGGGGGGTAGCCAGCAGGTCTGGCTGAAGCAGAGGGGTGCTGGGCATCCCACTGGGGCATCTGGCCACCTGAAAGAGGCCCCCTAAAGACCCAGGGGACCGGATCCCAGCGCTGTGGGCAGAAGGCACCGGGAGGATTTCTCTGTGGGTCCCGGCTCTGCGGGCCTGGTGTGATCGTGGCATCGCGGTCCACGTGGGGCTGCTCTGGCCTGGTCTCTGCCCTGGGGAAGGCACCCAAGTTATTATACCTTCAGCTCAGAAAAGACCCAACCCAGCTCCCACGCTTTACAGCAGGAGAACTATGGGTCCAGAGAGGGAAAGCGATTTGCCCAAAGTCACACAGCAGCTTCCTGTGTCTCAAAACAAGCTGCAGGACTCCCATCCAGTGTTGCCCCCGGGAGACTGGGGATCTGGGCGCACGAGGCTGGCCTCCCTCCGGGTGACAGGACGGCAGGACGGGCTGGTCGGGGCACAGCCTCACTTGAGGTTGTGCTGGCTCTCGCGGTGCCGCCGCAGGTCCACCTTGCGCTGGAAGCCCTTGGCGCAGAGCTCGCAGCTGAAAGGCTTGAAGCCCGTGTGCTTCCGGCTGTGGGTGATGAGGTTGGAGCTCTGGCTGAAGGCCTTTCCGCACACCTGGCACTTGTGTGGCTTCTCACCTGCGGGGCAGCAAGGACGGTGTCAGGGCCGGCTGTGCCTCCACGCCCTGCATCTGTTCTCTGCAATTTTATTATGTTTTATCTCAGGACCAACCCACATTCCCTCTGACACCTCCCCGCCCCGCACTGCATTGTACCCTGGTTGGGGCGGGAGCTGGATCTCTCTGCTTTATCAATCTCGCGCAGCCCCTGGCACAGAGCCGGGTGCAAAAGAGGCACTCGGGCAACAGCCGAGGAATGAATGAATGAATGAATGAATGAATGAATGAAAAAAGCACCTGCTAGTCTCACTTCTACCCGGCGATCAACATTGCTGACCTGTGCTGTTTCCTTCCAGCATTTTCTCTGTGCATTACCAGTAAGTGAACTTAAGCAACACAGTGCCTCCAGCCCTCCTGTTGGGGGCGGGGTGGGGGGGCGCCCCATGTAACCTGATCCCACTGTCCTAAAGCCGGGGCCTTTGAACAGTGGAAGGTGGGGGTTCCCAGGCTCTGCCTGGGCCCTGTGGCCCCGAGTGCCGGTGGGCGAGTGGCGCTGGCAGCGGCTCACCCGTGTGGATGTAGGTGTGCTTCTTCATGTCCGACTTCTGGTGGAAGCGCTTGCCGCAGAACTGGCAGGGGTAGGGCCGCGTGTCCGAGTGGATGAGCAGGTGGGTGGACAGGGTGGACGAGCGCTTGAAGGCTTTGCCGCACATCTGGCACTCGAAGCTGCGCTCCTGCCGGGGGAAACGAGGCCCTGGGGGGTCAGGCGCCGGCGCAGGACTGGACCCGGCCGGGATCCCCTGAGGAACAGGACAGTCTGTTGGGGTGGCCTGGAGGGGCAGGCCCCAGGGCCCCCCCTTCCTGCCTCCCAGGAGGGGCTGAGGCTCCGGCCGAGTGGCCTCCTGTGGGTTTTTCCTTGTGACTTTCACGGGATCCCAAACAAAAGACATATTTGTTGACGGACTGATGGACCCACTGATCTGGGAGTGGTGTTTTGTTTTTTTTAGGGGGGGAGGGGGGTTCACATTTCTCGTCCCTTAACCCAGAGTGAGTTCCTGGGGGCAGGATGGCCGTGGTGTGCGGTTTGGTGGAGTCTGATTTTGAGGCCTGCGTCTGGCTTCTGCATCTCACTAGCCACCTGACCACAGGCAAGTGTTTACCCTCCCTGAGACGCAGTCTCCTCATCTGCACCTGGAACAGGAGCGGCGATGACCTCAGAGGTCGGGGGGATTGCAGGTGGAGACTGGCCCGTGGTTCGTGCTCGCGAAGGCAACACTCACGAAACTTCCTTCTTCCCGACCTGACCCCGGGCCAGCGACTCAGGCCAGTGGGGCTGTTTTGCCAGAATGAATCCCGAGGAAGGGGTTCCGGCCTCAGGGAGGGCTACGTGGGACCAGACAAACGGGAAGCCTGACTCTAAGAGGCCAAGAGTCAAGGGCCTCCAAGGCGAGAACTCCTGTCCTGCCCCCGGGGGATGGGGCGGGGGGGGCGGGGGAGGGGCATTTCTGAGCCTCACAGACACCCTGCGGCCCTCACAGACACCCTGCGGCCCCCACAGCCAGCCTGGGTCAGAGCCCCTTGCAATTGTGCGTGAAGCCCACTCGGTCCGTCGGGGTGAATGTGTCAGGAGTGGGCACTGGAGACGCCGACGAGGGCCGCAGGCAGCGAGGGACCCGCATCACCCTCAGGCCAGCCGTAGCCCCCCCGGCCTCCTGGGAGGAGGGCAGAGGGAGGGGCTCCTGGCTCCGGCTGCCCACCTGCGAGTGGATGTGCGTGTGCTGCTCCAGGCTGACCACGTGGCCGAAGGTCTTGCCGCAGACGTCACAGGCGAAGGGCCGGGTCCCGCTGTGGGAGCGACGGGCGTGCACCTCGAGCCCGTGTGGGGTGGAGAAGACCTGGGGGCGGGGACAGCGCATGAAGCCACGGGGGGGGGGGGGGGGGCGGGGGCCGGGGCCCCTTTCCCTCTGTGGTTGGGTTTCCTGTCTGTAAAGTGGGGCTGGGGGGTCTGGAAGGCCCCTCGTCGCCCTTTCTAGAGCTGAATAGGCAGCCTAGTGGTTAAAGACCACAGTTGGCCGGAGGCAGGTTTGCGCCTGGTTCTGATATCTCCTTGCTGGGTGCTCTTGGGCAAGTGATTCACCCTTTCTGAACCTGCGTCCGCCTCCCCCGGCTCATGCGTGTCACGTGCGCAGCACAGGGCTGGGCACGCGGTCAGGGCTCAAGGACTGGTGACAAGGACAAGGTTGTGAGGCCCCGATCCCACCAGGGGACCCGCGGCACCCGGGGTCGCCCAGCTGCGCGTGCCCACTCTGCCAGCTGGGGCCTGGACGGGCGCTCACCTTGCTGCACTTGACGCAGTGGTACGCGTCCAGGCCCGGCGAGTAGCGGAGGCTGAAGTCCAAGGGCGGCTCGGCACTGGGCACCAGGGGGCTGCCGTACAGGCTGACGGAGCGCTCCAGGAAGGCGGACTGCATGGTGGAGGGGGCCTGCCGGTAGCTGTGGCTGTAGGCCGAGGCCAGGGCGTCCCAGCAGAAGCTGGGCTTGTAGAGCGGAGGGGAGTTGGAGGCTGGCGAGTCCCTGTCCCGGGGTTGGGACGTCCCAGCAGGACCCCCTGTGGAGAGTGGGACACGTGCCTGGTGGTGAAGGATGTACACACAGGGCGCCCACCCCTCCCCTGTGCCGAGGGGGTCAGTGTGTAAGTCCCATGCGCCCCCGCCCCAGAGTGCCCACTCATCAGCCCTCCAGCGGCTCTCCCACCCCCGCACCGAGTCCTCATCCGGAAATGAGGTCCCGCCCAGGAGGCTCCACGCAGAAGCCCGAGAGCCCAGCATCCAGGGGGCCTTGTCCCTCGGCCCTCACTCCGGACTCCGAGGTCCCTCCCCCCCTCGCACTCACTGGGGAGGGGCTGGGGCCGTGGGCAGATACCTGGTGCCGAGGCCATGCTGGTCCAGCTCTGGTCCAGCTCCAGCGCCGGCTCCCTCTTGAGGTCGGGCCAGTCCAGGCGCGGGCCCGGGAGCAGGGTGCCGAGGACAGGGTGGCTGCTCGGGACTGGGTCGCTGGCCGCTGTGCGAGACAAGGCCCTCAGCGCCCCGGCCACAGCCCTGGGAGGGACCCAGGGGGAGGACTCGCTCCCCGGGAGGAGGGGCCCAGAAAGAAAGGTGCTTGGCTCTGCCCAGAGGGGGAGCGGCTGGAGGCCAGGGGAGACCCCGGGAGAACTCTTGGACCGTCTCGGTTTCTCGGAGCCCCGAGCTCAGCCCTGGATCGGGGTCCGTTTGAGACCCACACGCCCTCATCTGCAGCTACCGACCAGCTCCACGCTGAGCTCTCCTGGCCCCCAGGGCTCAGGGAGATGGGCGAACAAATGCATTCATTCATTCATTCATTCAGCCAGCAGGGACAGGTCCCCTGTGCCCAGACCTGGAGGGGGTGGGCTGCTGCAGCCCCGTCCTGTGGGGCAGGGGCCGGGGTGCAGAGGGTCCCAGCGGGGCCCAGCCTGTGCTGTCACTCACCCGGGCTCAGGACAGGAGGCCAGAATGGTTCATCGTCCTGGACGCGGGGCTGGTGGTAGGTGTGAGCCTTCTTGCTCTTCACCAGGAAGGAGCGAGGCATGGTCGGCGTGCGCCCCGCACCTGCCAGGGGAGAGGTGAGCGCGGTGAGGAGGACAGCCTCCCCCTGAAGTCAGAACCCACTGTCCTGGGTTGAACAGTGCCCCCCCAAAGTTCTTGTCCACCCGGACCCTGTGAACGTGACCTTTTTTAGAAGTAGGGTCTTTGCAGATGTGACCACATTAGAGATTGAACTGGATTGGGGCCGCCCTGTGGAGGCGGAGGCAGGGATTGGAGTGACGCGGCCACAAGCCAAGGAGTCCTGGTGGCCCCCAGAGAGGCGCGAGACACACGCCCTGGGAACCCACGGCGGGAACCGGCCTTGCTGGCGCCTGGGTTCTGGTTCTGTAGACGTCAGAACCTGGGAGAAGACCTGCTGTTTAAGCCACCTGGTTTGTGGCACTTGGTTATGGCAACTGTCAGTCCTAATGCAGGAAATGAGCACACCGACCTCTAGAGCACCCAGGCCGGCCTGCCGCCGCCGCACACCCCGAGCCCCCAGCGCTCGGAGCAGAGAAGCAAGGCAGGGTCTCCGTGTGGGGCGCCCTGCGGGCACCCCCGGAAGCCGTGCTTGCATCCTGGTTGGATGGGCCTTCAGAGGCCACAGAAAGAGGTGCTCTCAGCCCCTGTGGTAGAGCCAGATGCTAGTGGCTTCGCATCCCAGCTCACCTGCTGCGCAGTTCGGGCCGACCCTTAACCTCCCTGGGCCTGTCCCCTTCTCTGCAGGTCTCGGGGGAGGAGGCCCCGCCTCCCTGGCTGCAGGGTCGATAGGGCCAAGCGCGGGAAAGGGATGGTGGCTGCTCTGAACCACAGCCAGGGCCGGCGATAAGGCGTGGCCGGCAGCCCCTGGAGGAGGGAGATAGGCCAGCGTGGAGCTCTCCTTCAGAGCAAACCCGGGGAGCCTCCAAGGGGTGCCCCCCGAGCCAGGCAGGAGAGGGACCCCCAACGGTGCCCGGAGCCGCCCAGCGGCGTCAGGAGTTTGGGCAGTGGCCACCCTGCCTGGAGCCGGCCCAGGCCTGGCCCTCCTTGCTGTATGCCTCAGTGCCCAGCCCAGCGTCCTGGGATCGCCCGCAAGAACGGACCTTCATTTATGACAAACAGGCGTGTAGCGTGCCGGCGTGGCGCCTGGGCTGCAGGGAGCGCTGAGCGCTGGGCCTCTCAGCCCAGGGGAAACGCGCCAGGAGGGCAGGCACCGCTAAGGCCTGTCCGGTCTCATCATCCCATCCCGTCCCCAGCCTGGCCCACGGAGTCACGCTCTGAGGGTGGGGACACGCCCTGACCAGGCGCAGGGGCCCTGCTCCAGGCCACCCCTCTGGGCTCTGAAATGCGGGGGTGGGACTTGAAGGCTCTGGGGTCTGTCCAGCTCTCCGACTTTTCTTAAATATATTATTTGTATTGATTTCAGAGAGGAAGGGAGAGAGAGAGAGAAACCTCAACGATGAAAGAGAATCAGGGATCGGCTGCCTCCTGCACGCCCCACACTGGGGCTGGAGCCCACACCCCCGGGCATGTGCCCCGACCGGGAATCGAACTGTGACCTCCTGGTTCATAGGTCGACGCTCAACCACTGAGCCACGCCAGCCCGGCCGGCTCTCAGATTTGGGCCTCACAGGGCTCGCCCGGCCTGCTGTCCTCCCAGCTCGCCGGCAGCCCGCGCAGCCTTATCTCCCGGGGACAGTCTTCTTCCTGCCTCCGCCCTCCGCCCACCGGGCTCCTCAGCCCCTTCTTCCCCTTCTCCTTCTCGGCATCAGCAACGCACTGGCGAGGCCAGACCCTGGGCGGTTGGCGCGGAGACCCCTCCATGTGCCCCTTGTTCTGGGGGAGCCTCTATCTCTCTATCAAAAGATGTGTTTTTTAACGTAGTATTTTATTAGTGAGTCAGCTAGAACCAAAGGCAGGCGACCTGCCTAGTCTCAGCTCCGCTCACCCGCCCTGTCAGCCAAGTCACCGCTCCCCCATTTTAGAGAGGAGAAACCAAGGCTGAGAGGCTGCTCGGATCCCAGGGCAGAGCGAGGCGGAGCGGGGCAGGCCGTCCAGCCCAGGCCCCACGCTCCTGGCCGCCAGACCGGGGCACGGGGGCGGTGGGCATTTATCCTGCACGGAGGGAACTAAGCCGACAGGCAAGGGGGACACAGGACAGGGTTGAGAGCTCCCCGGTGCGTTGTCATCAGATCCCACACCCACGGGGCAGGGAAGCAGCGATTGCCTTCCCGGGGCACGGGGTAAACTGAGGCTGGGCGAGGACAGAGGCCTGCCAGGGTCTGTCAGCGCCTGTCCCGTGGCACTTGCCCTCGGTCCACCGCGGTCCGTGCAGCCCCCAGGGAGCCAGCCGCCTGGAGATGGGGAGGCTGCTTGCTGGGGCAAGAGGGGGAACAATGAATCCCCCGGATCTTTGCATCTTCTCCAGAAGCCGGAGGCCCGTGTCCGGCCCTAGAGAGCTCGGCGAGAGGCCGGGGGAGAACCGACTTCCTCTGGGAGCTTTGGTCTCCCCCGGGGTCCGGGCTCAGGGCCGGGGCGGCCCAGGACACAGGCCAGGGCGCTCTCAGGCTCAGAGAAACTTCCTTCTGGCCCCTGTGAACTGAGCTTTAAAAAAAAAAAACAGGAACCAATCACCTGGGCGGTAGTTAATGAACAGCCACACCGTTCTGATTCACAGGGACCGTCCGAGGAGGCGCTGAGAGCAGAGATTGTGAAAGAAGCCACGGTTTCTTCATAAAACAGAGCCTCGATGGTATCGGCTCCGGAAGGAGACTCACTGTTAGCATCTCCCCAAACCCCATCCAGTGGAGGGCCCCGACCCTGAATCAGAACCTCAGCCGAAAGCCCCGCAGGGGGGCCCCGCACCCCGACTTACGGGCGGGGGAGCAGCAGGCCTGTGATTTCCGAGCCCCAGGCGTCCCCCGTGGGGCCGCGTCTGATTCTGTGACCCTGGGCCTGACCGCCTCGGCCGCCAACCTGGGCCTTGGCTGTCCTCTCTCGAAGGGACGGTTGGACTATGGTTTCCACACTTCCCTTTGCTCTGAGATCCCACGCGCGTCGCGTCCGTTGCCGCCAGCGCGGGGCTGCCCACCTGGCCTGAGCAGCGGTCCCCGGGTTCCCCTTTAGGAGGTTGGGTAAGACGCCGTCTTTCTCAGAGTCGCTGCCTTCGGACTTCCTTTATGTTTAAAGACGCGGCTTAAGGGGAAACAAACAAACAAACACAACCCTTTCCATGACCGAGCCGGAGCGAGGAAGTGAGCCCGGGTCATCTGGGCGTGCGGGGAGGCGGGGGTGGGGGTAGGGAGGCCAGGGGAGCGGTCGTTACTTTTCTTTGAAATCTGGAAGGTGTTCCCAAAGGGTTCCTCCTAGGTTCAGAGAACGCAGTGTCAAAAGCGAGTGAGTCAGCCCTGGCCGGTGGCGCAGTGGTTAGGACCCAGCCCATGCTCCAAAGGGTCACGGGTTCGATTCCCAGTCAAGGACATGGACCTGGGTTGTAGGTTCGGTCCCTGGCCCCAGACGGGGCACGTGTGGGAGGCAACCAATCCATGTGTCTCTCTCACATCGATGTTTCTCTCTCCCTCTCCCTCTCCCTCCCCTCCCTACCTCCCACTCTCTCTAAAAATCAGTGGAAAAAAATATCCTCGGACGAGGATTTAAAAAAAAAGTGAGTGAACCAGTACAGTATCTGGGTGTATCCCCCAAAAGAACTGAAAGCAGGGACTGGAACAGACATCTGTACCCCCCAACGCACAGCAGCCATGTTCACAGTAGCCAGAAGGTGGAGGTGACCCGCGGGCCCATCCAGGGATGTGGGCCAACTCGACCTACACGCACGCCGGACGGTTCCCAGCCTTGAAGGGAAGGAAGTCCTGACACCTGCCCCACGCGGGTGAAACGGGGGGCGTGACGCCGCAGGACGCACACCGCACGGCCAGGCCTCTGCCCGGTGTGTGCCGTAGGCAAATGCAGGCGACAGGGGCGGGGGGGGGGGGGGGGCGGTTACTGTTTAATGAACACCGAGTTTCAGTTTTGCCAGGTGAAGAGTCTGTAAACGGCGGCCGTGCCATGAGAGCAGGCAGTTTCGTGGTGCGTATGTTTTCTCTCAATAAAAGCAAAATGAGTGAGCAAGGCGTGCCCTGCGCATTTCTGAATTAGAGACGAAAGCAGCCCCCTCCCCCCGTTTGAATTTCTGGAAACAAATGAAGAGAAACCTGGCTGGGGACTAAGCCCGGAGCTGTTTCTGTGAAAGGGGGCGAGCTCGCACTTAGGGGACCCGGCCGTTTTCCCGGGGCGGGTGTGTGTGTGTGTGTGTGTGTGACCTGGGGGGACATGGCCTGGGCCTTCGGAGCCCTGTGTTCTCACTAGGACCCCAGCCCCCTGACAGCCGCGGGCGCCGGGTCCACGCTGGCTCTGAGCGCCTCCGCCCCTCGCACCCCGCCCGCAGCTCTGAGGTTCCCGAGAACTTTCTGCAGGGAAGCCGGGATCCCCCCCCCAATGTCTGAGCTGGAAGAGACCTCACTCATCTCCTTCTGTGAAGACCCCCCCGCCCCCCCGCACCAGCTCAAGGAACCCGCCGCTCACCGCTCACCGAGTGAACTCTCCCCACTGCGCGCCCGGCAGGCGGTGGCGCAGGAGGGCAGGTGACGCTCCCGCCGCCCCCAGATCCGAGCCCAGAGGCGCACATGGATCCCCACCCCACCCGGAATCTCGTGAAGCTCTCGACTTTTCCCCAGAAAGCAGCCGCGGGCACACGCCCACGGCAAGTCCGCGCGGTCCCCCAGGAGCTCTGCGCTGGACAAGCGCCTCTCCCGGCGCCCGGGCCCCAGCTTGGCTTTTTCTCCCCCAAATGGTAGCAAAGGCGGTGACACCGGCCCCCATCCCCCGCCTTATTGTCCCGAGGCTGGGGGGTCAGTGGGGGGCGGGGGAGGGGGGCAGCGCTGGAAGGGAGCGCGCCGCACTCCCCGTGTCCCGGGAACTGGCGGGGAGGTGGCCCGGACTGTGGACGCCCGGGCAGAACTGCCTTCAGGGTTCTCTCAGTCCCAGTCCCACTTCCCAGGAAAGACGGGCTCCCGGGACCCCCACTCGGGCCCTCCGCATGGGCTGTGCCAGGCGGGTCTGTGGGGTGTGGGTGTGACGGGGCAGGAGGTGATGGGTGAGCGGAGGACTGAGTTGGGAGAAGGTGGAGGCGCTCCTGTGCGGGCGCGGCCTCCTCGCCTCCCCTGGCCCCGGGCTCAGGGGCTGACCGCTGCTCCCTAAAGAGGACCTGCCGCCCGCCCGCCTCATCCTCCCAGAGCCGCCCGAGGGCCAGGCCCTGCTGGGACCGTCAGGTCAGACACGCAAACGGAGCGGCCGCAGCGCCAGGGCCCACTCCGCACTCACCTGTCCTGAGTCCCGCGTCCCGAGTCCCGCGTCCGGGGTCCCGCGTCCCGGGGTCGGTGCTGCGTCCTGGTCCCGGTCCGGTCCGGTCCTGCGCTGGGAACCTCGCAGCCACTCTCTGCGGTTGGCTCCAGCCGTCAACTTGGAGACTCCCTGCACAGTTAGATACTTCTCCTTTTCTCTCCCTCTGTTGTTTTTTTCCCTCTTCTGTTCCCCTCCCTGATTTTCAATCTGATTATTTGTCAAAATCTGGCGGGGAGGGGCAGCCAATAGCGCGCGGCTGTATTTGCTTATCGCAGCTTCCAGGCCGCTCACGCTGTCTCCTCTCACCCTCTCACCCTATCGCCCTCCGCTCCGCTGCCGGCTCCCGGGAAGCCCCAACATCTGGATGAAAGGAAAGGGCGGCTGAAGGATTCCATTCAAACATGAGAGTTGAAATAAGACATTTACTTGTAAACCCGATTTTGTACCAAGAACTTAGAACTTTCTTTAATTTTTCTTCTCCTCCTCCTCTCTTCCTCTCTCTCTCTCTCTCTCTCTCTCTCTCTCTCTCTCTCTCCTCTCTCTCTCTCTCTCTCTCTCTCTCTCTCTCTCTCTCTCTCTCTCTCTTCCCCCTTCCCCCTCTTTTTTTCCTTCGCCAGTTGAGCCCCCAGCCAGGAGGCATTCAGGACAAAGCACATGGCCAGGGGCCTGCAGGCCGCCGAGAGGCCCGTCCCCACAGCGGTCACCTTGGAGAAGAAGGTGGCATTCCTGCTCCCGGGACGGCACCCCAGCGGGAGTGAAGGGACAGTCAGGTGTGGTGGTGGGTCCGCCAGCCCCCAGCCACTCCGGTCCACGCTGGGGTCCCAGGGCCTGCGTGTGTCGCCCTCTGGTGGCCGAGGAGGCTGGGGTCCCTGGGCCTGCAGCGCGTCCGGGTCACCAGGGGCAGAGCCGGGATGGCCGGGGTCAGGCGCGTCATCCCGTTGGGCACAGAGCCCCATTCCCCATCACCACTGCCCCCACCCCCCACCCCCACCCCCACCCCCTCCTCGGCCCCCCAGGGGCTTCGGGGTGACTAATTGATCTCAGCAGGAGATTTGCATAAGACAAGGCCTCACAGGGCCACCACTGTTAGCCTGATTTGCATACTCTTCCCGGCCTGGGATTGTGTTTCCCTCAAAAGGAAAACAAGTTTGGTGACAGGAGCCCAGGAGCCCGGACTCACCCTGCAAATCCCGGTCCCACGGGAGCAGCGAGGCCTCTGTGCTGGGCTGGCCTTTAGGTGAGACGCCGCCTGGACGTCACCCGGCCTGTGACACCTCCTGCACGTCACCCGGCCTGTGATGCCTCCTACACGTCACCCGGGCTGTGGCGCCTCCTGCACGTCACCCGGGCTGTGGCGCCGCCTGGATGTCACCCGGGCTGTGATGCCTCCTACACGTCACCCGGCCTGTGATGCCTCCTACACGTCACCCGGGCTGTGACGCCTCCTGCACGTCACCCGGCCTGTGACGCTTCCTACACGTCACCCGGCCTGTGACACCTCCTACACGTCACCCGGGCTGTGATGCCTCCTGCACGTCACCCGGCCTGTGATGCCTCCTGCACGTCACCCGGGCTGTGGCGCCGCCTGGATGTCACCCGGGCTGTGACGCCTCCTGCACGTCACCCGGGCTGTGACGCCTCCTGCACGTCACCCGGCCTGTGATGCCTCCTACACGTCACCCGGCCTGTGATGCCTCCTACACGTCACCCGGGCTGTGACGCCTCCTGCACGTCACCCGGCCTGTGACGCTTCCTACACGTCACCCGGCCTGTGACACCTCCTGCACGTCACCCGGCCTGTGATGCCTCCTACATGTCACCCGGCCTGTGACGCCTCCTGCACGTCACCCGGGCTGTGGCGCCGCCTGGATGTCACCCGGGCTGTGACGCCTCCTGCACGTCACCCGTCTGTGACGCCTCCTGCACGTCACCCGGGCTGTGACGCCTCCTGCACGTCACCCGGGCTGTGACGCCTCCTGCACGTCACCCGGCCTGTGACGCCTCCTGCACGTCACCCGGGCTGTGACGCCTCCTGCACGTCACCCGGGCTGTGGCGCCGCCTGGACGTCACCCGGGCTGTGACGCCGCCTGCACGTCACCCGTCTGTGACGCCTCCTGCACGTCACCCGGCATGTGACACCTCCTACACGTCACCCGGGCTGTGACGCCTCCTGCACGTCACCCGGGCTGTGACGCCTCCTGCACGTCACCCGGGCTGTGGCGCCGCCTGGACGTCACCCGGGCTGTGACGTCGCCCGGCTCACCCCCGGCCCTGCAGCTGTCCTCTTGCTGGAGAGACACCAGTGGCCACATCTGGAATGTTCTCTGACATGCACATTGCCAACAGCCCACTAAAACTGTTTTAAATTATGCAGGAAACGAAAAAAAATAAGTAAAGGACATTAAGAAAACTCTCCCTTAGCTTGACACGTCCTGTTCCCTCCCATTCTCACTTCATCACTTCATTCCCCAGACACACAGGCACACACACGCATGTGCGCGCACACACATGCACAGACACACACATGCACACACACATGCACACACACACACATACACACCCATCCTATTGTCACTTCATTCCACAGACACATAGGCATACGCATGCGTGCGCACACACACATGCACAGACACACCCATCCCATTGTCACTTCATTCTTTCATTCTACAGATGCACACACAAGCACACAGACACATGCACACACACACAAATACACAGACACACGTGTGCACATGCACCCATCGTTGGCTGTTGTGAGCCACTGGTTCTTCCTTCTTCCATCGAATGTGATGTTACTTCGGTGCCGCCTGAATCCCTCAGGGCCTTCATGAACGTACCTCACGGTTTCCCAGCTTCTCATGGTTCACCTTACCTATCACTTTCTCCAACTGGGGCAGGATTTGGGGGTATTTCCTAGTGCAAAGCTGCCACGTGGGGCAAATACAGTTCAGCTCCCCCCCCCCCCCCGAGTAACCTGCTCAGGGGCTCCCTTCCTAGACCAGGACCCCAGCCTGGAAGTGAAGACAGGCCTCCAGGCCCCTGCAGCAAGACCCCCGGCTCGGGGTCAGTCCCTCCAGGGCTGCCTGCGCGGCCAACACCCCCCCCTTCGGAGACAGCCCTGGAGGTCACGTGCATGGATCTAGTCCGACCTAAGGGCTGAGCGGCTTCAGCATCCCTGTGCCCGTTCATTTGTTCATTCACTTGTTCAGTTGCTGTTGGTGCCTTTCATACACCAGGTTCCTCCTTCCCCCTCTTGCCTCCTCCCTTCCCCCGTCTTAGCTCTGGCTGCCATAACCAGACACCACAGGCTGGCGACGTAGCAACATTTATTCCTCACGGGGGCTGGAAGTCCAAGACCAAGATCCCCGCAGGTCCAGCTTCTGGCGAGGCCGAGCTTCCTGGTTGCCGGCAGCCACCTGTCGCTGAGCCCTCACGCGCCTGGCACGGTGAGCTGCTGTCTCTCTTCCCTACTTATAAGGACACTGATCATTCAGTCCCTAATGCCCCCTTAGCGAGCACATGTTTATTGAGTGCCTACCAGGTACCAGATGCCGGGGTTTCCAACAAGAACCAGACAGAAGCCCTCGTGAGCTCCTTGCTGGTCTAGCAGGTGGGGCGGAGTCCCCTGACATGTACAGTTTGGGGTGGAACCGCTGCGATGAAACCACGGCGTGCAGAGGAGCATGGGAGGTGGGGAAATGGACCCAGGCCCGGAGAGCTGGGGAAGCAAGCGGCACCGGAGCTGGTGCAGGCGGAGTCCGTCGGGAGACGCAGGGAAGAACCTCTAAGAAGACGAACACCAGGGGCAAAGAGCTGGAGGCAGCCAAGTTCAGTGAGGGGGCACGGGGGAGCCTGGAGGAAGGGGAGGGAAGGATGGGGCATTCGAGAGAGGAGCCTAGAAAAGAAGAAGCCGGATCAGGAAGATCGTGTCCTGGTTTAAAACCTGCAGTGACTCCCCTTTGCCCAACAGGACACAAAGCTCAGCCTCGCAGACCAGCATTCAGTGTTTTTCTCGGTCCGAGCTCCTCCCAAGGACAGGGCTCCTTCGTGCGAGTTGCAGGAACCCGATTCCACAGGCTTAAGAACAGCAACACAATTAGTTAGCCTTACAGGAAGGGTCAGCTTCAGGCATGGTTGGATCCAGGTGCTCCAATGGTATCGTCTGGATCCCATTCGTTTGTGCCTTGGGGTATTTGCATGTGCTGTCCCCTCTGCCTGGATGGCCACCTCTCAGCCCTTCCCACAGGATATGGGTCTCTCACTGGCCAGGGCCGGCAGATCCTGCTGCCAAAATCACACTAAGAGACAAGGAGGTGGAGGAAGGGATGAGTTCTGGAGGCAAGAGCAGTCCCCCACAAAATGAGGCCAGAAGGGTGTTTGGGGCCATAGCTGCCACCTTCTGACTGTCTTCTCACGGTCGCCTGAGCGTGCTGTGCTCTTGCTGGGGACCAAATTCCAGCTCCTGCCCCTGTCTTTCCTGTCCCCCCGTCCAGAATGTTCTTTCTCTCCAGTGCCCTCTTTCACAGAACAATCCAGCTCTCCATTCCCCCAAAAGGCCTTCCCAGACTCCCCACAGCCCCTGGGGTCGTCTGTGGTCTGAAGGATTCGGCCTCCCGGACAGCCTGTGGATTCTGGTCTTGCTCTGTCCATTGTGGACACTCAGCAGCTTGTCAAGGAGCCCAGCAGGTGCCTAAGGGGAGGGCGTGCGGATCATCCTCTCTCTGCAGGCAGCAGGCACAGGCACAGGCACAGGCACAGGCACAGGCACAGGCACAGGCACAGGCAGCAGGCAGCAGGCACAGGCAGCAGGCAGCAGGCAGCAGGCAGCAGGCAGCAGGCAGCAGGCACAGGCACAGGCAGCAGGCAGCAGGCAGCAGGCACAGGCACAGGCACAGGCACAGGCACAGGCAGCAGGCACAGGCACAGGCACAGGCTGGCCTGCGGGAACCCTGACCAGGCTGCACAAATGGGACCCACTGCACCAAGGGCCAGCAGTGGGCAGTGTGCGGAGTCCCCACCCTCAGAGGCCACATCTCAGGCGAGTACAGGTGGGTCCAGAAGCCCTGTGGGAAATGGGGCGGGGGGGGGGGGGTGACTGTGCTGTGCTGGGGGTGGCAGGGTCCTGGACCCGCCGGCACCTTTCCAGCCATGGCTTCAAAAGGCCACAGAACGAGGAGTGGAACAAACAGGAGCTGGGCACAGCTGCCCAGGAACGCCAGGATCCAGGGGTGGTTCTTGCCTTGGGGGTGACGGGGGCGGCTCCCTGGGGCCATCCTCCTCTCCCTGCCTCCTGGTGCCAGAAAAGCCCCACCTCTGTCCTGCTGTGTGTAACTCAGTCCTCCGGGGAGATGGCGAGCTCCTTCCAAGCCCAGGACCAGCTGAGGCGCAGGGCGCCCTCTTGCAAACGCTGCCCGGCACTGGGGGATGGCGCTGTGCTGCGGACGCACCGCGGAGGACGCAATTCACTGTGTCGCCACGAGGTGGCGCTCCGGTCTGCTTTTCTTCTGGCAAAAAACTGAAACACTAACAATTGTTGTGTATATATATCTATGTAGTATGCATGTATGTATGTATGCATGTTTGTATCTATCATTTATCTATCATCTACCTAGTGTATCTAATTGCTGCTTAAATTACAAAAGTGATCCATGGTCAGAGGAGAAGACAATAAAAGAGTATGTACCTCTGTCCTGACCTGTTATTCTTTCCCTCCCTCCCACCCCCCTTACTCTCTCTCTCCCTCTCCCCTCCCTCCTGCTGCCTTCCCCCATCTCCCTCTCCTAAGCGTGTGTGCATACAATGTTTTTGAGTTCAAACAACTCTTTATTATTAAAAATAATCTTAAGCAGTATTGACCTTCGCTGCTGAGTCCCACAGAGTCAGGCAGCATCTCCACAGCCTGAGCAGCCCTCCTGCCCTCCAGCCTCCAAGAGGGGACGGCACGTCCTGGAGGAAGACCGTGGGCGTGTCCCCGTCACCAGGTGGCTGGTTGGCCTCACGGGAGCATGAAAGGAAACAAACTTAGATCAGGTGGGGAGTGGGGGGGCAGGCGGGAGGGGCCCGCATCCCCCCCTGCATTCCCGCTCATGCCTCCCAGCGACCACAGGAGCGGCAAACAGGCACGGGACCCTCTCCAGGTCCGGGAGAGACCGGACGGACAGTCAGGAAGCCCCTCTCACCTCCACCCACCAGCCACCCCTCAGCCGGGCCCTCTCGGAGCCTCCGGCAGGACGCCCGCGAAGACGGAGAGGCAGGGAGAGGCAGGTCCCAACGCATCACCTGAGGTTCCAGGAGGGAAACGGGGCCTAGAGGGGCCCGGCCTGTCCTGGAAAGCCCTTCCCACGGTGACCGTCTTCAGTGCCTGACCGTCCTCAGTGCCTCCGATGTAGGCATCCCATCTGCTTTATAAAACATAGACGCCCGTGGCCATTAACCTCTAGCTGTCCAGAGTCACGGGACCAGGGCTGGTGGAAGCGCCATTCTGGTGTCGGGCCACCAGCTGTGTGACCTGGGCCAGGTCACTAACCTCCCGAGACTCCACTGTCCCGTCTGTAAAATGGGGGTAAGGCTGTGCCTCCCTTGGGGTCGTTGTAGGTAGCAAATGAGGGAATACTTGCAAAAATGTTTTATAGATGCACCAATACTTAAAATTTAAAAATTTTTGTATTTATATATTTTTTGTTAATTCTCACCCGAGGATACTTTTTCCCATTGCTTTTCAGAGTGGAAAGGAGGGAGGGAGGGGGGGAGAGAGAGACAGGAGGGAGGGAGAGAGAGAGGGAGAGAAACATTGCTGTGAGAGAGACACATGGATTGGTTGCCTCCCACAGGAGCCCTGACAGAGGCAGGGATGGAACCCTACAACCCAGGTACGTGCCCTTGACCGGGAATTGAACCCTCGATCCTTCGGTGCTAGGGCCAACACTAACCCCTGGGAACACTGGCCAGGGCAACGCTCAAACCCTTTAAACACGTGAGTTCCTGTTTCTCAGCGGCAACAGTCACCAGCAGACTGCAGAGCTCTGCTCTCTGACTCTCATCACAAGGTCAAGAGCAGCAGCCAGGGCGGCGGCAGCCTGAGCCGCCATGTAGGCTGTGCCCTCCCCGTGGTGGGCAGAGTGTCCATGCGACACCTGACCTGGGGCTCCTGCTGCTGAGCTCCCGAGGGCTCCGCATCCACGTCCTCTCTGGATGCTCCCGGGAAGCCCGCTGGGTGGAGAGGAAGGCGGCTGTTCCGTGCCCATCAGCCCGGGGCCAGCTGGGGTTGGGGCTTCTAAGCCTGTCTCTTCAGTCCCAGGGAGCATGCTGCCACGTAGGGAAACCGAGGACCGACTTCCAGGTGCGGCTGGCACCAGGGCCAAGCCCACAGTGACAGTGGGGGCGCCCTGCCCGGTCCACGGGGGCACGGACTCCCCCCTTTACTCTGCAGCCTTTCCCCAGAGCCACGCCTGGCCGTCGCAGGTCCCTACACGGGCTCTCCCCGCCTCGTGGCCAGAACCTCAGAGTTTCTGCCCGTGCGTGTTCCAATTATTTTTTGATCTTCAAATATTTCTTTCAAGTTTTTAATTTTGAAAACTTTGAAGAAAAAAATGCAAATGAGACGTCTAACAAACACCCATCCTGCTTCCATCCACATGCAACAATGGTTAGCCTTTGCCAATACACGTTATCTCTCTACGTGCACATATTTGTACATAAAAATGTTTTGTTTTGATAAAACGTTTTGAGAGTATCATGCAGACATCCTGACACTCCACCTATACATACTTGAGCCCATATCTCCTAAAAATGAGGATATTTCTTACATAATCACCCACCTAAGGAAATTGTCAGTAATTCCCTAATATCCTTGAATACCCAGTTTATATTAGCATTTTTTTTTTTTTTTTGCAATTTCCTCCAATATTCTCCTTTTAGGATCCGGACCCTGCCGAGTTCGAGCACTGCACTTGCTTCTGTCTGTAGTGTAGCCAGGCTAAGTTTGGTCACTTGGTTAAAGTGGTGACAGTCAGCTCTCTTCATTGTGAAGGTGAGTTAAGCAGCAATCTGTGGCCCGTCTGACCGTTTGGTGTGACCCCTGGTTCAGCTTGGACCCAGGAACCAGGAGGTCACCCACATGCCCCGCCTGTGGCTCCATCCCCAGTAGAGGGCGTGCAGGAGGCAGCCCATTAATGTTTCTCTCTCCTCGATGTTTCTCCCTCTCTATCGCTCTCCCTCTCTCTCTAAAATCAATCAAAACAAACAAAAAGCCCCCAGCCAGATGCACACTCTTTGGAAAAGCCTTTCAGACTCGCTGAGACTGCAGCTCCCGTTGCGCCCCCCACTGCCTGGTCCCCACGGCCTGGCATCAGTCACAGCGCTGGGTCCTGCCTCCTCGGGCCTCCGACAATGCCCAATGCCGCTGGCCAGCACGGCCTGCCTCTGCACAGGACACTGAGCTCAGCACCCTCCTGCTTCACCCGCCTGCACCTGCCCCTTCCCAGAGGCTCAGAGGGCTTCCACGCTCCCAGGGACACGCAGCCTGGACTAGTGACAGGGTTCTCCTTGTGAAGTCACCTGCCCTGGAGAGCTTTAAAAAAAAAAAAAGAAAAAGAAAAAGATCCGGCCGTGACCGGTTTGGCTCAGTGGATAGAGCGTGGGCTTGCGAACTTAAGGGTCCCGGGTTCGATTCCGGTCAAGGGCATGTACCTTGGTTGCGGGCACTTCCCTTCCCCAGTAGGAGGTGTGCAGGAGGCAGCTGATCGATGTTTCTCATCAATGTTTCTATCTATCTCTCTCCCTTCCTCTCTGTAAAAAAATCAATAAAAAATGTATTTTTAAAAAATTCGTTGAGATTTTGCTTCCCCCACAATGGTCGTCAATTTGCCTCAAATAAACTCATAACGTTTTTCTCTTAAAAAAAGAAAAGAAAGCCGCCTGCTCCGACTAGGGTGGTTTCCATAGGCCAGGTCTGAGTGTTAGCAACCAGAGGGCAGTCTCAAGAGGTGGGCTTTTTTTTTTTATGTATTTTTATTGATGTCAGAGAGGAAGGGAGAGGGAGAGAGAGAAACATCCATGATGACAGAGATGACAGATTAATCGGCCACCTCCTGCAGGCCCCACACTGGGGATGGAGCCCGCAACCCGGGAGTCGAACCGTGACCTCCGGGTCACAGGTCCACGCTCACCCCCTGCGGCTGGGCCAGCCTGGGCTTTGGCAAGCCTCCGCGAAGGCAAGGCTGCGGGCCCAGCGGCTCTGCGGGACCCCGATCGCAGCTCCGCGGCCCGCACAGGCACCCGGCCTGCCAGCCGGACGCCCAGGAAAGGCAGAAGGCGCCCCAGCCACACCCAGCCCCGCCAACTTGTTTACGCCTCTGGCACAGCCCCGCCCGCGCCGCCGCCGGGCCACGTGACCCGCGCCCCGCCCCTCGCCCTCCCGCGTAGCCCCGCCCACCGCGCCGGCCCTTCTTTTTGCCTCCTTCGGAGTCACAAGATCGCTCAGCGGCCTCCTTTCGGGATCCTTCCGCCGGGCCCCGCCCCCTCCCCACCCCCTCAGGTCTCGTCGGTTCTTCCTTCCCCCGGTTCGCATCATCAGGAATGAGCAGCACGGCCTCCTCCGTCCAGCGCGGCTGCCGACCGCCATCACCGGCCGCTGGGTTCCAGGGAGAGGCGAGGCCCCGCGGGGGACTCTTTTTCGTGGCGGAAGCTGTCGCCGGCCGTGGCCTCTTCACGACGGGGGGGAGGTGCTGTACGTCCAAGATGGCGGCGCCCTGTAGGCTGGAGGGACTGTGAGGTAAACAGCTGAGGGGGAGGAGACGGTGGGTGAGTATGGGGGTGTCTCCCCCTCCTTCTCACGGGACCTGCTTGGGGCTGCCCCGCCACCATGACCCCAGTCGGGGAGGCCCCGGGGGGCGGGGGCCAGGGGCTTTCTTGCCGTGGAGGGGACCCCGGGGAGGGGGACTTGGAAAGCTCGCCCCTCTCCCTCCTGATGCGCTGTCTCCGTGCGGCCCGGCCGGGCTGGCGGGGGCCTGGGATGGGGAGGCGGGCCTGGCCGGCACCTCGCCCCTCGTCGGCGGCCGGGGGCACGGCCGGGCCGCGGCGCCCAGGGCCGGGGGGCGGTGAGCCCCCTCGCCAGCCCCTCCCCGGGCGGGGGTGACAGGCCCCCGGGGGGCGCAGAGGGCGGGGTGCGGACCCTCGGGCGGCGGGGCGGGGCGGGCGGCGGCGGCGGTCCCCGGGCGCGGGGAGAGGGTCCGGGTGGGCGCCGAATGAATGGAGGCTGCCTGCGGGCACCGAGCGCTCGCCGGCCTCGGGGTCCCCGCGGAGCCCGGCGGGGCGGCGGGCCTGGCCGCGGGGCTGCTCGCGGGCGGCCCGTGACGGGGAAACAGTTACCTCCGCCGGCAGAGGTGATGCCTGCGAGCCAGCTATTTGCAGAGCCGCTCCTCGGCGCGCATCCATTCATTCGAGGAACTGGAGGGTGAAGGGCTGGCAGCGGGAGCTCGAGCGCTTCCTTTGTCCCGGAGGGAGTTCGCCCGCCGCGTTCGGGATGGGGGGGCGGGGGGAGGGGGTGCCTTGGCAGGGGGTGCGGTCCTCCCAGGACAGCAGCTCCCCCCGGTGCAGGTGCGCTGCCCTCTTCCCTCGCCACCAGGGAGGAAGCAGCCACTGCCACACGCCCATCTCTCAGATGGAGAGACTGAGGCCCAGGGGGTGGGGGCCACCTGCCTAAGGTCCCTCTGGGCTGGAACCGGGGCCTGCCTGCTTGCCAGACGGTGGGCCCCTCTTCGCTGATCGCCCCCCCACTCGCTCAGGGAGCTGCTACTGACCTCAGCTGGCCCGTCATTCTCCCCAGGCGATCAGCATGAATCAGCCGGCCCGGGTTCCTGCCCAGGTGCCGGTGGATGGGTGTGTGTGTGGTTTCGGGGGGCCGTGCCCTGGCTTAGGCGCCCTGGCTTTGGTTTGGGATGGCAGGGTGGTGCATGCAGACATGCTGGTCTAGGTGGGGAAGCATTTGATATTTTTTATAAAAACTGACGAGTTTACTGCAGAAAGAAGTCCTGCTTAAAACCCTTCGCTGGATTTTTTTTTTTTAATAGAAAGCATAGAAATAGCACTGAACTTGACACAGAGTGCTGTAAACAGTACTAAGGTAGAAGAACTCTCCCCCGAGGGACTTGGGTTTATAATTTTGGGATCAGCGTGGACTCATCTGCATTCCAACGTGTTGGCAGAGTGGGGCGGTAAATTTGAAGAAGGGCTGCTAAGCGGGATCTCCTGGGAGCTGGACTTAGTGAGCAACCAGCTGCGGATCTTAAGTCGAACATTCCCGAGGAAACCCGCACATGCAGATGTGAAGACTGACTTAGGGCTGTGCGGGCAGGGGCACCTTTCACAGCCACGCATCGGGGAAAGGCTCCTCAGAAGCAGGGACACATTCTCTGCTGTTGCGGGAGCCGCGCCGTCTTCTCTCCCACCTGGGGGAACTGAGCGGGGCTTATGGAGGACGCACGTGGAGAACAGCCTCTTGCGAAAGTGAGTGTCTCATCCAAAACCTCTTAGTCTCAGGCCTGGAGGGCGGTGACGGCCTCTAGCTTCCCGTGCGTTTCCTGGCGTCAGAGCGACCCGGTGTGTCCCCGAAGTCCTGGTCAGGCCCGAGGCGGCGACAAGCCTTACTTGTGTGTGTGCAGTCGGAGCGGCTCAGGTCCTTGGACTCGGGTGCACTCTTCCTCACTGGGGCAGGAGCCAAGACCCCCGCCCCCGCTCCCTGGTGCCATGCGACCCCTTCTGCACGTGCCTGGTTTCCTGTGTGAGATGAAACCTGACAGTCTCACTAGGACAGATCCATGTATGCCTGTCTGTGTGACGCTTCCAGAATAACACCGCTGCTGGAAACGAGCTCTAAGTGTCCAGCAGAACCTGCACCCCACACGGCAGACCCGCCGCTCAGACCTGCGTGCTGTCTGTGAGGACGGCCGGAGGCATTTTCTGGGAGAAGTCGCAGGTGGTGCTGATGTGTCCCGGAGGCGGGGGACCAAGGCCGTAGCTTCACTTTGGCTCTTTTTCTTTCAAGTGATACTTTACGGCTGAGGCATTTTTCAAAGCAGCTCCTAGCCTCTGGTGTGTGCGGTGGGTGGTTGTGGGCTCTGACTGACGGCGGGCTCGCTCTGAGAGCTGTCTCCGTTCACAGTGTGTCGGGCACAGGCGCGCTCTTCTCTGGGGCCCAGGGCCACAGCGGGCTGACAGGCGCGCCTCCCGGGGTTCATTGCACGTTCTTGGGTGCAGATGAGCCAAACACAGCAATACATCAATCGCCGCAAGCTTTCTCAAAGCCACAGCTTTCAGCTTTGAACAGGTCACTTAGCCTTCTGAGCCGCGGTTTCTTCACTTGTGAGATAAGAGTTGGATTGTAAGTGAGTGTTCCTAGTCTAAATTTCTGTGATTTAAGGTCTCCCGGGCCCTCAGTCAAACATTCTGACCCAGTTGATTGGATCAGAGTGCTTGTGGCTCGATAATGTCTCAGCAGATTGGTGACTTTCAGCCTGACCTGTTGGCTGGTGACCTGTTTATCGTTTCCTTTATGTCACATTGTTTTTGAAAGGTAATTTCCTTGAAGTTTCTCATATTACAAACCTCTCCTTGAGAGGTTAGTGTTGTGTGTCATGTCAGTAGCTGCAGCCATGAAAGAGAGGATACTCCACATTCAAACCTGTAGCTTTTTGCTTTAAATACATACATATACAGTAGCAGTGTGTGTGTGTAACTAGTATATACTCAAGCACCGAGTGTTTTCCTTCAGTGTTTAATATAATGTAGTTTGCATGAAATACTCATTTCCCCCCTATTTTAAGTTGGTCTGAAAGAGGTCTACCATCGGCAATTTTCTGATTTACTTTTTAAGCCTGTAGTTATTAGAAGTTAGTAACTTAATGTTTAATGTCTCTTTTTGTGGGGAGAATAAAAAATTGTATATACTAGTATAGATATATTCATTCATTCTCAGGATCTTGCTATTTTTTTCTTGCGCATGGCTAACTTTTGTTCTATACAGGGAAGTAGCAAATGGTAACAATATTTTAAAAGATGGAATGAATTCAGATTGTCATCTAATGAGTAAAGTGCCTTAAAAGCCACGGTTTGATCAAAAACAAGGCTTGGTAGTGACGGGCCTAGCACTCACAGGTCACTGTGTAAGGATAATGGCAGTAAAGACCAGGAAGTATTTGAGTAACGAGGGACAAGTGTGCCCTTCTGTTGGGGATGGAAGACACAGTGGAGAGTGATGAGGAAGAACAAATGGCGTGACCTAGTGTCTGAGTCATTCAGACCCGGCTGCTTGGAGGGGCTCACAGAGCACAGTAACAGACGCGAAGTGTATCCGTTTTAAGTTACTTTTATCAATGTGCTTTTATCAATGTTTGACATACAAGTTGTTGAATGGATAGATGCTGAGCCTTACGTATCCAGCAATACAATATTGTTATAATAAAGTTTATATTGAGTGCTTATGAGCCAAACGTTGTGCTAAGCATTTTACAGTAAGTCCCTATGAACTCTTCTCACAGCCTCAAGAGATGAGATGAGACCAGAGGCGAAGGAACCGAGGCCTCAAGTCACGCTCAGTTGCTGAGCTGGGGTTTAAAGCCTGTCGGTTGACTCCAGAGGCCCAACATTTAGTATTTCACTGTTACACTGCCTGAACTGCCCATCTCCTAAACTAACGCATACGTCAGTGATTCTTAATCTTTTTATGGTGGGGAAAGAGGGGGCTCAGTTCCCCTCTAAAATCCAGGGAAGCTGTGGACCGAATATCCCTTCCCCACCACCAAGAACATTCATAGAGATATGGAGTATTGGGTTTGGCTTCAGGAACTTCACAGACCCAGCTTGGAGCTCAGCCAATCACTCTAGATAGATTTTTGCTCTTAAAAATGGACTTGGGCTTTATTTAAAACAATCTTTTTTTTTTTTTTTTAGCTAGTAGGTAGAAGAGGCCCAAGTCTTTTAGAGATGGGCCTATGTACTGCTTGCATTTCAAATCATCTTGTCAAACTTTCATATTGAAAGAGTCTTTACACCCCGCAGGAGATTCACCTGTGGGTGCCGCATTGAAAACCAGAAGTGGAGAACTCGGGTGTATAACTTGATAATGCGTGTCAGGCATGGCGTTCAGGCTGTGCTGGTACCTTTAGCACCGAGAAGCATTCCTTTGGTTTCCCCCCCAAGGTTTATGCACTATTTTTTTCCTTTGAACCTCAAAGTGTATATAAAATATATATTTAATGTTTCTCGCCTTCTTCTTTCCCCTGGACCACTGGTTCTCAACCTTTACTGGGCATCAGAATCACCTGGAAGACCCCACTCCCTAAGTTTCTGACTCAGATCTGGGCCAACGCCCAAGAATGGGCATTTCTGCCAGGTTCCAGCTGATGCTGATGTTGCTGCTGTGAGGACCACCTGTGAGAACCACGGTCCTGGACTATCAACCCTACCTGTTATTCCTGGATATTTCTGTTTGCGTCCTCCGGGTTTGAAACCTAAAGAAACCTCACAGTTTGCACATTGCTTTTTAGGGGGAGCTCTGTATGGTGATTGTTTGATACAAACATGATATCCGTCTGGCTTGCATACTGTAGCATATAATTTTGTTCATGCTAACAAAAAGTCAAACATAAGACACATTATTTATAGAAGAACATACCTTACCAAGACTGAGCTCTGTCCCTGCAGGAGACCTTTGAAATAGGATACAAGCTTCGGCAAGTTGTCCGTCAAGCTCCCTGATGGCAAAATTCTGAATGGAGACTCCAGAGCGCTCCTGCCCCAGCTTGTATGACCTTGAGAAGGACTACCTCTGAGACCATTGAAGTCACACGTGACTGCAGGCTTTGGCAGGTCTCGCCGGCAGCTGTTTCACTTACACACGAGTAGTGTTTCCTACTCTCATCTCTGTCCTGTGCCTTGGGAGGAAGAGGGCCTGGGAGCTGGTGTCTTGCCCTTTTGGGTGCATTTGTGCTGAAGGCCACTTGGTTCACTTGCTGGAATGTTCCCCTGGGGAGCCGCCTCAGAGCTGCGCACGGTGCTATAATAGTGTCTCACTAGCAGCTTATCCTCGGCTGCACTGTTAACATACTAACTGTGTTATTACTGTACCAGTGTAATATTTCTGCTTTACATCTGCTGCTCCTGTAATGGAATAGTCCATCTATGCCTGAACCTGTGTCTGAATTGCCTTTGAGTCTTTCCTAGTTAAAACCTGAGTATAGGAAACAAGTGTAGTGAAGAAATACCTGCTTTCATTTATACCCTTAGTTGTGTTTTGGGTTTGTTTTGGGGTAATTCTCACCTGAGGGTATTTTTCCACTGATTATTTTTAGAGAGAGTTGAAGGGAGGGGGAGAGACAGAGAGAAACATCGATGTGAGAGAGACATCAATTGGTTACCTCCCGCACGCACCCCGACCA